TTAATTCCTACAGTACAAAGGTGAGAAAGAAAAAAAAGCGTGATTCCCAAGACAGAGGCAAAAGAGAAGAAAAGCAACAACCACTGCTTGCTTACACCAAGTGTAAAGTCAGCTTAATTTACAGTTAAGTGAGATAGTGGTACTTTTTATTTGTGTATTTGTTGTGAAGTTTCACTTCGTTAGTTGGATTACAAAGCAGTGTTGTATACCATGAAGGTGATACAGAATTGCATCCCACATTTTAATTGGGTTGATATTACAGACAAGAATACTCCTATGTTCAGGTACTGCATGAAAGAAGACCCACTGTGCTCTAATGGCAACTAAAGATAGTACTTCACTCAATACCACTTAAGCCTTCTAGGCCTCAACAGCCAAACCCTTACTTCAGTAATTGATTATTTCACCATAAGTACTTAACATTGCTTTAATGCAGGAATCTCTTCGATGTCAACCTCTAAATACTATAATAAAGCAAGCCAAAAGCACGCCCTGTACTGTGCAGCAATGGCTTTGCTGTACTCAAGATACCAAAGTGGTCTGCAGCAAGGTAACAGGAAAGACATTAGTATAAGCAGAGTCCCAACAGCATGTTAAGTAACAGTGCCAACACACTGATGGTTTCAACACCCCGGAGATTCCAGATTTTCTAGGCGAGCAGGTGTGCTAATTATACATCTACCATAAATATTACTCCTCAAGCAGAAACAGCTCAAGGAACTGGAACATCTCCCATGGAGCAGTAGTTGTTGTAGGGAGAAGAAAGGGATTAATGCCAGGATTAAAGAAAAATAGTAATGGAAATACCAGAAAAAAGGCATGGATTAAAGGCATAGCTTTATAATGGCTATTCCCAGTTAGGTTTTGCTTAAGATGACAAATAATTTACTGCACAAGTTAATGCCCTCCTCAGACAACATCCCTGAGCTTCACTGTGAAAGCCTCTTAGTTCAGCAGGAAAAAAAAGATGCATACTGTTGTTTCTAGAAGTATTATCCAAACTCAGTTTAGAGAACAAGAAACAAAAGAAGACAAAGACAAGTTGTACTTTTGGACCTCTCCCCAAATTACTGGTGAATTGGACTGGTAGCTTTACTACCATCCAGTAGCTTGCTACCTGTAATAGCTGCTTGAATCTACAACTTGTTCCTGAGGCTACAAGAGGAAGCTAAGTAAGAATAGCAGTGACATAGATGAGATCTATGGGTAACAGTTTTTAGGTTAGCAGTTCTCCCCAGTAACTGCTGGTGTAACACAATTAGCACCAACAGCAGTGCAGACATTAGACATCAGCCATCAGCATTTTTACTGGTATCACCTGAACGTCAATGATGACACTGGTCAAGGCTTGAGTCACTACTTTTGATAACATGGAAAACACAAGGTTTGCATTGAGAGCTAGGATCTGGTACTGAATATACCAAATGGGACCCTGCGGAGCACTACAAGCAGTGAAGCTCCACACAGGGCCACCAAACCACCCAGAGGAGATGAGCTGCAGAATATGACCTTTTCATAGAGAGAAAGAGAAGTCAGTTAAAACCCCAAAACATTGTCACCACTAAACCCCCACACTGGAGTCTAGCCTGGATCTCTCAGAACAACATTCTCCTTTGACCTTGCCAACTGGTAAGGGTGACTCATCACCCAAGTCACGGTCCTGTATCTTAAAACGCTTGGTAGAAAGTCTATAGGCATTATGATGCTTACTGTAATAACAGGAAGAAAAGCCCATTTTGCAGAAAGCAAAACAATTCTGTTTTCAGGTTTATAGAGCAAAAAATCTCACGTTATCTACATCTGAGACAGCCTCGTTCTAAACAGATCAAAGCTTACTTTTAGTGATGATTAAACTTTAAATGAGACAATTCTTTACCAGCCTGTATGCAGAGAAGTGCTTTTACTTAAAGAGACTCTCAGTAGGAATGACTGCATTGCAAGTCACACAACTCATACACCTCGCCTTTTCTTCTCTGCAGGTAAACAGATCGCAAGTTCAGCTTAAAGAAAGACAAACACTGTTTAGGTGACAAGAGGAAAAAAAAGAGCTTTCTGCCAAATAAGCAAGACTTTCAACCATCCCTGAGGATCTTACTCCTCAAATCGTCTTCAGTGTCTGTATACCCTCACTTAGCTACCTAATCAAAATAAGGAAAGAAGCCCAGTGATTTCTAAACAGATAATGGTGTTATGACAAACTGTTTATACAGATCTCTAAGGAAGACCTACAGATGTTTTCTCTGAATCCAAAATATGACTGCCAAATAAAACTTAACAGAGCATTAAGTACAGTTAAATCAGGCTTAAAAATCACTTTCAGATCCTGCTGCCTGAAAATGGCATCAGTAACTCAATTACACACTTTCAAGCTAATATTTAGAGGTCAGAAGCCTGGGAACGCCTTTAGGACACACAAGGACATTTCACTGTTGGCTTCAGACAGTCACAAAGAGCTTCGCAGAATCACAGAATAGTTACAGATGAACCTTTGGATTATCCAGTTCCAACCAGAGTCATCTTTTCACAAGGTTCATCCAGCCAGCATCTTCAGATTTAACTTTGCATTGCTTTGGTTATGCAACTTCTTTCACTTGTGTAAAAGGCAGGAAGCAAGTGTACAAGCCCAAAGGGTTACGTTCTCCCCTAAACCCCTTGTTTTAATAGGAAAATAAATTACACCAGAAGCTTACAAGGATTTATTTGGGCAGTCACAGTAGGCACTACACAGGAGAGTCCCACAAGTTCAAAATCATCAACTGGCACCAAAATAAAGCTGTGCTGCAAGAGACTGATGGGTACGCACACCTAAAGAACCTTCTGCGGGCAGGAAACATTGCACATACAAAGCTTTCCATTCGCACCAGCGGTCGGGTGTATACAGCAACCACCTATGAAGGAAGCAGGCGGCAGCCGGGGCTCCCCACCACCTCCTCCGCGAGCCCAGCGGTGCCCAGGGCAGCGCACCGCGCCCAGCACACCGAGCACCCGTACGCATCAGCCTCCCAGAGGGAAGCGAGACCGACACCCGAGCTGCGCTGCTGCCGTCCTATCAGATGGACAGTCAAAGCGGAGCGGAGCTGCACCCGCGGCCAAAGTCCTCCTCCTCCTCCCGCTCCGGGCCGCCGCACGCAGCCGCTGCCTCGGGCCAAGCCCTTCGCGCTGACCCGGCTGTCCCGGCCTGTCCTACCCCACCCCGGGGAGGCCCCAAGGCGGGGTGGGACAGGCCGGGGCACCCGCTTAGCGAGGGCCGGGCCGGACAACGAGCCGCCACTGGGCTCCGGGGGACACCGGGTCCGTGAGGGGAAGGGACAAGCGACCGCTGTCCCAACGGCCGGTTCCGTTCGGTGACAGACCGCCCCCCCCCCCCCCGAGGGTCACTCACAGCTTCAGGCTGGCATAGGCCGCCGCTGCCGCCGCTCCCGCCGCCGCCGCCATTCGGTGCCCCTCCTACGGTCCCCGGCTCCGCGTCTACTCCCGGCCGCTCCCTCCCCTCCACACTGAGGCGCCCCCGGCCTTGAGGGACGGAGCCCCACGCAGGACAAACGGCCGCAGGAGCACTGCCGAGCACCGCCGCCGCCCGTAGGGGAAGGGGGCGGGCCTGGGCTGACTGGCTCGCACCACGATTGGCTAAGCCGCCGCGCTCTGACCCCGCCCCCGGAGCGGTGACGCGCTGCAGGAAGCGGCGGGGATTGGCTAGTGCGCGAGCGCGGCGGTAAGCCACGCCCGAGAGGGTGGGGTTTAGGTGAGGAGGCCACGCTGAATTGGCTGCCCCCTGCGGGGCCTAAGTGTGTGTGGGCAGCACCCGTTCGCAGAGCGGGGCCAGTGGCGCAATGGATAACGCGTCTGACTACGGATCAGAAGATTCTAGGTTCGACTCCTGGCTGGCTCGGCTGCTCTTTTTCCATCCCTGAGTTCATCATCCACTCCCTGAGGTGCTGCCTGCACCCCCTCCGCTTTTGGGCAGCCTCCCCCCTCCTGCATATACCCAGTCTGGCATTCCCTATGTGCCCAGCACATCTGGGGTGCTCTGGAGACCCCTACAAAGCATCCCGGGGTTGGATGTGCGTTACAGACGGGTGTGTCCATGGCAGCCCTTAACACAGGCTGCTGTGGGAGGGGCTGGTGTCCATATGGGCCTACGGAGACACCCCAGATCTGGGGGTCTGCATGGGGCAGGCCTTCTGGACAGTTTCCCACTGGATCCAGCCCTCTGGGTATCATCCCAGGGCATCATTCCCTCTCTGGAGACATTCCAGGCCTGCCTGGACACGTTCCTGTGTAACACACTCTGGGTGGCTCTGCCCTGGCAGGTGAAGTAGCACCGGGTGATCTCCAGAGGTCCCTTCAACCCTTAGGATCCCCTTGTTTTGGGAAGTTTGCCTTGAGGAGGGGGAAGCCTGAAGTATACTTCACTCCTGTATATTTGCATCATTTTAGCTGATAGCTCCATGCTCCTTGGTGCTGCTCGACCATCAGCACTCCAGCATCCCATCTTCAGGCATGGGGTTGGAACTGGATGATCTTAAGGTCCTTTCCAATGCAAACCAGTCTGGGATTCTATGATTCTATAAGGTGTCACAGTCACTGGTAGCAGTGAAGACCATGGGGCACCACATGGCCACCTACCTCCCAGAGCCACAGGAACTCTCTCCCCAAAATCCCCTATGGAACCATTCCCACCAATGCCACAAAGGAGCCCCCCCATGCTGTGACTGGAGCTTGCTGCCACATCCCTCCCCAGCTCCTCACACCCAGGTCTCCCCATCGGGATGCAGGAGCAGGATGGCCTCCGATGGGGCTGCAGCAAAGACCAGTGGCCTGTGAAGGACTGGAAATGCCCACTGAGGAGGTTTCTCCCACCAGTCCCTGCTCCAGCTACCAATGAGGGGGGGACAGGAGGAAGGCAGAGGCTGAGAAACCATCATTCCACAGCATAACTCCCTCCCTGGGGACTCTGTGCAATGGCAATCATCATTCTAGGTAAGACTTGACGCTGAGCATTGTTTTACCGTATTGCCTTTAATCACCAAAATCACAACAGCTCCCGCTGCCGGCCTTCATTCCTTTATAAATATGTAACAGCAGAGAAGAGGGCTGTGTTCAGAGGTGGCTGAGGGTAGTTACACCACCACAAATCCTCAAACACTCTTTCCCGGAGCTGAGCTTTGAAGGAAACGAATGAAATCATTAGTACCGTTGAGAATCATTAAGCCAGGCTCTGGATTTGCTTCCCGGATACAGAAAGCCACAGCCTGTGAGAGCATGCCCAGGTCTGGCTGTGCTCCGCAGACCTGCTGCGTGGAGACAAGGGTTGGTGCCACCGGGGCTGGGAACTGCAGCCTGGCCATCCCTCCACCTGTGGATGCTCCACAGGGCATCCCTGTGGTCAGCCTTCGTGGGGCTCTATGCCGTGTATGTTCACGTGGAGATAGTTTCTTCCCATCTCTCAACTTGCATATGGCTACGTGAGCTTCTGGCTGCCCTGGAAGAAAGCAGGGTGAGGGGTTTTATTGCTCCGCTTCTCCTTAGGAAAAGGGTGGGTGAGCAGGTCCAGGCTCTGTCTGGGCTCACAGCAGGGTGCAGGAATGGAAAAGAAGAATGAACACACAAACATTATGCGATGAGAAACACAAACATCCTCCCAGCTTCCCCCAGTGACACACAGGCCTCAGAGGACAGGGGAAAAGGGATGTGGATCTGGTCATAGGCCTTCCCTGCCAGCAGGTACTGACTCCAGAGATGTTTCCCCAGTGATGCAGGCTGGGTCAACTTGTCCTTATGCTCATACACAGAAAGTTGCTCAAAATGCATCTACAGGCACTTGGCATGAGCACAGAGGTATGAAAGGCAGGGCTCTCACTTCCATATGCACAGACACGACAGCACACACCACCCCAAAAGTGAACACAGAGCACGCAGCCAAGGCTGGCATGGGAGAAGAATGGTCCAGACCAGTGTATGGAAGTGTGCTTCCCCTTAAAACCCCCTCTAATATATGTCCAGGAATACAGTAACCAAAAGCAAGTCCTTCACATCCTTTCTCTGTGCACCCCAGAGCTGCAGACCATACTGTTTATCAAACAGAAAAGCTGTCAGTCCATTCCAGTGATCATTTCAAGGCCACTCTTACACTGCCGCAGATTCATCCTCAGATATGTCTCATCTGTAGTAACACCACTCTGCCCCTGATCCAGTACTTATCCATGCACACACACAGATCTTCATGTACGTGTGCAGCCTTACTGGTTCCAGTGGGACTGGAAGTTCAATGCAGATGGAGCTCTTCATGTGATTCTCTTAGCAACAGCAGCGGAGTACAGAGTCCCTGTACGTATGATGATACTCAGGTGATGTGGAGGTCAAAGCGTGTATCAGTTTCCCTTTAAGCAAGGCCCCAGGTTTGCTGTTGCTGAAATAAGAAGGTGGTCAAATTTCCAGGGAAGTGCAAAATAAGGACCGAATTCATCAGGAAGCGTGTGCCTGCGATTCCCCTCAGGGCTGTCAACTCACAGGACAGAGGTGGAGGTCCCAGCAGCACTTATGGACAGGCCCAAACATGGAAATTCAGGGATGTCAAATACCTGCTAACATTAGTGCAAGGAGAAAGCACTGGAAGATAATCACTTCTTCCTCTCCCAGCCAAAGATAACCCTGTCTTTTGAACAGCCAGCCAGACCCATACCCACTCTTTCCAAGTCCATTTTCCCCCTTTCAAGGCCCAATGCCGATTAAATTCCACCATTTCCAGCCCAAGGAGCCATTCACTTTGTAGTCAAAAGATCTACAAATAAAATCATTTAAACCCTGGAAGACTGGGAAAACATTTTAAAAGCCCCCAAGCAAAACTCAGAAGGAGGCACAAACCTCATCAGATGCTCCTCACAGCCTGCCTGAAACTGCTGCTCCCTGTGTTTAATACCAGTTTCCTAAATCACTAGAACACGTGTTTCTTACGTTTTAAACCACACACAAATGTCTATAGCTAGGCCTTTTCACCAGCTTTTATGCAAAAAAAAAAAACCTATTCAAATGAGGTTTTGTGTTAACAGCATGATCTGAATGGGGGAAAAAAAAATCTATTAAGCTCTGGTTCCTGAAAGCAAGTTCCAGGGAATTCACTTGAGTAACTATTTGCATGTGAATTGCTCATTACCAGCACAATGGGACTTTCAGGGGTCCCATGCCATAAAACCAGCCAGAAAAGCACTCTGGGGGAGGAAACACGACTAACTTTTCATGGCATGCTTCAGCACCTCAATAAATAGACAGCAGGGTTCATAGGAACCCAATGCAGAACCCAATGTGTATGAGCCAGGAGACAGGCAGAACTGAACACCTTTCCTGCAGCTCCTCTGCAGAGTGGACAAAGCCAAGCAGCTCCAGCTCAAGCCACCTGCCTGCCTGAAGACAGGCAGCAAGGGCTTGCAGCTCCACTGATGCCTGGTGGAGGGGTCAAGAGGAAAAGCCTTCCCTGTGCAGGGAACACAGGGAAGTTTACCCCTTCTTTGGGCACCGGAACTGGCAGCCCAGAGAAGCTGTGGCTGCCCCATGCCTGGCAGTGTTCAAGGCCAGGTTGGACGGGGCTTGGAGCAACCTGATCTAATGTGTGGTGTCCCTGCCCGTGGCAGGGGGCTGGAACTGGATGATCTTAAGGTCCCTTCCAATACAAACCAGTCTGATTCTATGATTCCCACATCCCAGACCCACTGTCAAGCAGCTGCAGAGCCAGAGACAAGCTGGGGACAATCAACAGGGACTCAAGATACCCACAGCCTTGGAGAAATAATGAGCTTAAATGAATTCTAACTGACAAAGATAAAAGTGGAGCAAGTCAGCACACTCAGGGCAATGCAGTAGATGCTTCAGCTTCAAACCCACAAGCTCACATGCTCCATTTTCAGTAGCTTCACACTGTTGTTTCTAGCTCTGTAAACACAGGAAAAGAGAGCATTGGCACTTAATAATTTACACAGGACCTCAAAACTGAAAGTAGGGCAGCCCTCATTTCCCCAGCGCTGAAGGATACAGGATGGATCAAGGCCAGGTTGGCCAGGGCCTTGATGTCACCCAAGATCTAGTGTGGGGTGTCCTTGCCCATGGCAGGGGGTTGGAACTGGATGATCTTAAGGTCCTTTCCAACCCAAACCAGTCTGTGATTCTATGGCTGGCAGGAGTAAGGAGACACTGTGTGGGTGTAGCTTCCCAGTGATCAAAGGGGGCTCCTCCAGACAGCTCACCACAAACAGGTTGCTTGAGGCTTTCCATGAAGGAAAATGGCTCATCTCCATCCTCCCTTCTTTCCTGCAATTTTGGGGTTGTGCAAGAGCGAGGCCACAGTTTAAACTGCAGCTAAAAAGAAAGCATCAGTCCCACTGATGTTTTCAGATCCTTCCAAAACAAAGGCAGGAAATGCTCTAAAACCCAAGAGCTATCAAAACCATGAGCCACAGAATAGCTGATCTCTCACAGACAGTAACAGGCGACCAAGGCTGCTGTTTCCACCTCACTTCCAGAAGCCACTTTGATACCTTGCTGTCAAAGGAAGCTCAGGGACAGGACCCACGTGCTTAGGAATAAGTTATTTACAAGGCGTTATGTCCCACCTCAGTCCCTTCTGACAGTCCTAAGAGCACAGTCACACCTTGAAACCTGCTCCCATCCCTCACTACCCAGCATTTGGAATCTAAATTTAAGGCCTTATTTGGGGTCAATTTTACCCCCTCTTAAATCACATGTACAACTCTCCAAAGATAAATGCCCCAGGGCTACATACACTGCACTGGGGAAGTTTCCACTCTTGAGCTTTTGGTCTCTTACTGATGGGCTGCAGAGCCAAGCTACATCAAAGCTGGAGCTCCTGGTAGTTCCCAGCACAGGACTGACCTCCAGATGTGTGCTGCCATCCCCAACAGCAATAACAGCAGGCAGAGGTGCTTACAGCTGGATGGGGCAGAAGGCTGGATAGCCTGCTGGCCTCATCAAACTCCATGCCAAAGCTTCCTGAGGCGTGGGCAGTTTGGGATGTTCACATTTCAGCCAAGGCAAGCCATACAGACGTGCTGGAGGGTGCTGACAGGACACTGGTCTCCATTTGTTTTACCATTTAATACTTAGCACAGCATTTTGTACCACACACATTGAAGGCCCGTGGTGTGTATTAGCAGAGACAGGCAGCTTGTGGCTACCCAGCACCTGAGCTGCTCCTGGTGGGCACACGAGGGAGTCAGTCTGACTACTTGGTGTGATGTTCAAGCACGTACGTGTATGCTACTGATAAAGAGGTCTGGTTGAACCATGGTGGGTTCTCAGCACAGGCTCATTTTTGGAGTCCCAGTGCCACTGCTCAGCTAATTTATTGTAGCTTCTTCACTAAAAAGATCTTCAAGAATGTCATCTTCTTGCCAGTCAGAACCAAATTTGCATCTTTAGCATAGACAGATGACGATTTAACTCAACACAATATGTTAGAAAGGGTAACTAAGAACCCCAAATGAACCTGAGGCTTTAAATTAAGAGCTTTTCCTCAAAGAAAAACTTTGTACCTGTACATGAGGGGCTGCACAGCTTTGGTACCTACAGAGCATGCCCTGCAGGCACACCTAGGTAACACAAACTGGGGGAGCACATTCCTTTGAGCAGGGGTCAAAAAGAGAAACGATTTGCCTTTCTGCTTTAGAGAGCAAGGGCCAAACTCTAATCCCTCTCTCATATAAGCTGTTGTTATTCATGGGAGCACATTTGTTTATACCAACATACTCATCTGAGTACAGCTTGTGGAGCTGGGCTCTAAATCCCCGTGAAACAAAGCCTCCATAAGGACCTCGAGCTCTAAATAAGCACCATTACGAAATGGCTTTGTGCTGGGTAAACACCATGGAAATGAGTGACCAGCCCAGGGGCTGAGCTGTGGGGACCAACTGGGAAACTCAGGCAAGTGTCTCTGTAGGGAGAGCATTTGCTCTGCAAATGGGAATGAAGATGGATTTCCCCCATGTCCACACTTTCAGCATCCCGACCTTTCCTTTCCAAACATGATCCACTCTTCACTCGGACACAGTAGGCTGGTCCCTGTGTATCATGCTGACATGCAAGCCCAGAACCCCAAGTCATCGTGGTAGCTCAGCCTAGCTTGCTCCAGTCTTCTGTTCTGTTTGAAATGGGATGTTGGCCTCCAGCTGCCAGCCAGCACGCCTGATTCATGCTTGGAGAGTTGGTGTTTTTACAGCCAGGCTCGATACCTAGGAATTAACTGAAAGGTCTGAGTGATCCATTTTGCACAGACCCCTTTCTTGTCTTTTCCTAAAGAATTAATAAAAAGAGAGAGTCTAAAATCTGGTATTAAAAGGTTGATGTCCTTCAGGGAATCTGATGAAATGTGCTTCTCAGGAAATTCTTAATGTAAGACCGATGCGATGTCCACATCAGGCAGGCAGGCAGACAGACAAGCCAGCCTCTGGCTTTTTAATTGTGCATGGCACCATTTGAGTTCATAGGCACGACAGCAAATTGTGCTTTCACTGAAGAATCTTCCACAAGGAGCTAAGAGGAATCTCCAGACAGCAGAAAAAGGCACGTAGAAGTAAACCAGTTTAGGTAACACACCACATTCTTGGTCAAGTAGACCTGGTTTGATACAGCTGGAACTCACAAGCATAAAACCCCTGGGAATCCAGCTAAAATCTCTCATATCCTTTTACAGGAACATCGCTGACTGGTGAAAAACATGCACAGGAAACCAACTGAGGGTGGGGAGAGGGAGATCATGTAACCATCTTCTGTCCTGGCTTTCTGATGTCAGCCGTGCAGGCTAGTAGTGGTGCTGGTATGCAGCTGCTGGCATTGTGCCGTTCTCAATGTGTTTCAGATGACAGGAGTGACAAAGCAAGTGTTCATCTAGTGGGTAACAGCGATGCCCATCCTCGTCGTTCAGTTCCAGTCCACAGTCCTGCAAAGAGAAGCTCAAATTATGAGAGCATGTGTTCATCTCCCAGTGTCAGCTGGGGTCTGGCTTCCAGGAATGTGATTCTGTGACAAGGACAGAAGACACCCACCCAACAGCTCCTTCTTAGTAAGTCCAACATGTGCCATGAGAAGGAAAGCATCTGACACACGCATTTTGAGGGGCAGCCATGTACCCATTTGTATTAAGTAGCCTTATTGAATAAGCTTTATCTTGTGGAGAGGTGCAACCCTATGTATTTTAAACATGCTCGTGTCTCCTTACACTCTGGGGTAGGATTCACCTCTTCACATTACTTTAATTGCAGCAGTAGTGATGTGAAACCAGCCTGCTGAGACACAGCCTCTTTTCACTGCATTATGAGCACAGTGAAAGAAGACATCTCTTTATTTTAATTCACAGCAGAATATGAAGGCTCTCTGACAAGCTCTGCACAAAGACCAAATGGTGTTTAAGAGCTGCCTTCTCTTAGGACTTTTTGTGCAGCCATATCCTTTCTCCAGCCCCAATGACACATTCATTTCCCAGGAGACTAAAGGTAACTTATACCACACAGGATCACTCATCACTTTAGCACTTTTGAACAATCTGACTTGGAAATCAGATACACTAATGTGATCTGGAGCTCAAGGCTTCTGAAAGCCAGCAATAAACCTTATTAAGTCACTACATTTCCTTCATTAACAAATAAGCTGCCCATAACTTTATGGATAGCAAATGAAATTGCAAAAACATCTGTACTCAACGGGACATTTCTCAGCCACTGATACGAAGGACACATAATGCAACGTTTGAATGGCCATTGGAAGGCAGCAGATTTATTTCTATCTTAAAAGTAGTTATCACTATTAAGTGCTCACTTCCTGAAAAGCTGCTGACCTACCTCGCAGTGATAACATTCCACATGGTAATCCTTGTCCATGGACACAACCCGAATGGTCTCATCAGACCCCTGCAAGCATTCAAGCGAAAGACTAATTACAAAGGATTGCAGCAGGATCTGACACATGCACTCTGTTGACTGCTTCCTGCAACGATGGGAATGTCGAGGAAATGAATGTGGGCTGCTGGTTAGACACCCCAAATAAATCCTGCCACCTGCAGTTAATTTTACAGTAAAGCTTCATCATTGACTGACTGCAGATATCCTCTAAAATGCAACACCAGAAATGTAAAATTCTCTCTGTTTAACAGTCGCATCTATCTCAAATCACACATTATGGATGCCCCATCCCTGGCAGTGTTCAAGGCCAGCTTGGATGGTGATGGAGCAACCTGCTCTAGTGGAAGGTGTCCCTGCCTGTGGCAGGGGGTTGGAATGGGATGAGCTTTAAGGTCCCTCCTAACCCAAAATTTCCTGTGAATCTATGCATATTGATTTGGTAATTTCAATATATCACATTTCTCAGCATTTTCAATTAGTTTTGCCCAAGATTCATCTCCTCAAAGTATTAAAATGAGTTAGTCCCTGAGGGGTCACACATGTCATTCATGAGTGCCACCAGCATTTATTGACATGAAGGAAGGGTATCCTGGACATAAAACTAGCAGCAGTATAATCCTGCAGGAGATGGAAAAAGCAGCCTGGCCCAGCAAGAGCAAAAGAAAGGTCACATCTCAACAACAGCATAATAGCTCGGGTCAAAAGGTTGCACTTTGGGGGAAGCGATCATCTCTCCCCATCCACAAGTATATTTGCCTTGACACAGGGTCAAGTGTGAAAGAGAACAAGACCTGAGACATGATGCTTCCTCCCTTGAGGGGACATGCATTAAAAGGCTCTCACCTCGGAGGGCAGAATGGGAAGTCCACATGCTGCACATTTTGGGGCTAAAACTCTGGAAAAGCAACGAGAAATTGAAGGCAAGTTATGGATCAGCATAAAAAGAGAGGCTTGTGTGTTGTCAGCGATATGATGAAAAGCTGCAGCTGCAGCTAACTTATCCACAGGAAAGCTTTGCATCCCAAGATCATAAATTCATGTTAGCATTCATTGTAAGCAATGCTTGGCACATGTTGCTCAATCAGGCAAAAAGAGACCTTATCTTTTACACTCAGTGCCAGAAAAAACAACCAACCCTCTGTAAAATTCTTGGCTGCTACTGCGAGATTTGGAAGAGAAAATGAGGAGAAACCGAGCAGGACCCATCCCCAGAGAAACACATCAGAACACAACATCGTATGATAAATAAATAACATTGCAATGCATATCATTTCAGAACAACAGTGGCACATGGAGGCAACTCTCCTCTTGGCCCAACACAGACTAGTTCCAGGAGTTTCCTGGGTAAGACTTAATACTCTGCTTGCTCAGAAAACTGAGCAAAGCAAACCAGAAGGACACTCAAAATGTATGCAGCTCTAATATCATAACTACCAGCAAAGAGCACTGCCTTTTTGTTTTACTGCCTAAATGACAAATGATTTTAAGTGGATTTATCAGCTGTTGAATTTGGAGCTGGATTAAAGTTCTGCTTTGCGGGTTCAGTGGTGATTCTTTACATGCAAACTCAGCCCTTCAACTACTCAAAAAGTAACTCACGTTGATTTCCATAGTCTTACTTTAGAGCAGACTAACTTCTGACATCACTGAACACCTCCTGACCACTGTTCCTCACTGTGTCTGCTTTGCAGAAGGGCAGCTGAAGCCTAGGGGCTAAACGGCTTCCTCAGAGTTACACAGGAGTCAATGGCAGGACAAGAAGAGAAACACCTGGAATTTCTAGGGTCTAACCCTAACTTCAAACTTGTACCTTCTAACCTGGCCCTATTTTACTAATCCACACTTCCTAACTAGCTGAAAAGCTGAATTAGAGGCTTGTTGATAGGAGCATCTCTGCTATTTTGTCCTTACTTGTGGTAATCTCTGACACAGTAGATTTTGTTCTCAGAGTCTACAGTGAATGGCACACCATCCAGACACTCATTACAGACCACGCATCGGAAGCAGCCTGGATGATATGATTTCCCTAGAGCCTGCAGGATCTGCAACAAACCAAGAAACAGGAAAAATGCATGTGAACAGCCAGTAAAGGCGAAAATAAACACACAGCTTTATACCAGGGTGCATGTTCATCAGCAGGGCTGTGTCTCTTTTCAGGCACCTCATCTGTAACATGAGTTAAGAAGGATGGAAAGGGCAGCTGGAATCAGTATATATCACCTGGTTCCAGTGAAATGAATTATTAGCATGGGTAAGAAAACAATTTAGAGTCTCAGTTAAGGCATTTAGCATTGCAAAGGATAGAAGTGATAGATTTTAAAGCAAAGAAAATAATTTCCAAAGCCAACAGGTGGAGAGTATGTAGCAGGATCACAAGGCAAGACATACCTGGCCAACAAAAGGAAATACATCTCTATACTCTCCATGGGAGGCTGAAACAAATACTATTGCTAGGTTTTCATGGTTCCTTAGATATCAAAGAGCTTTGCCTGGCTTCCTAATCTACACAGTCTATGGAAACTGTTAAGATCAACAGCTGCAATTCACCTGCTGGCTTTGGGGCAGAAATTACTACTTGGAATACCATGGCTTATCCGCTGAGTGATGAGCCTTTGGAGTATAAAAGAGCTTTTCCAGTTGTAATGCTTTCCAGGGTAAGCAGGCAAGCAAAGATAATGAAAGATAAGCATTAGACAACCCTGGAGGGCATGCTGTGAGCTGACCACCCAGGAATTCCTCCTTTCTTTGCCTCAGTTGTAGTTTTACACCCCCAGCTACACGATCACAGATTTATCTCCCCCTGAATCACTCAGATCATGGCTGAATGCTGCCCAGTGCTGGCTAAAGAGCAGTGCTGAGCCATGACCCACTCTGTGTACATGTTGAATGGATGGTACCTGTTTTAGGCTAACAAGAACTGCCTGCTTCAGCAGGATGTCCATGCACCCACTGAAGAGTTTGCAAGGACTCATGCAGATATAAACTGAGGTCTGGATCACATATTCTGGGTCAACCCTGTTTCCCAGAGTATCAGCACCCACAAAAACCAAGACAAGACAGTAGCTTTATCCTGAAGGCACATGGGAAGCCAGGTTGACTACAGGAAAGACAGGCTCAGCAGAGCCACACTGATGCCCCACAGCAAGGGAGCACTTTGAAGCAGGAAGCATCGACAGGATCATGCAATACATTGCCCAGGGAAGCCCAAAACGGTATGAAAGAGCCAAAGGCTCTGCTTTTAACATGCACTGAAAACAGGCAGAGCAAAGCCTCTGCACCATACACAGGAGGGTGACAGCTTCACTTCCTTGCAAAGGTCAGCAAAACGATGAGTGAATTTTCTTTCTGCTACCAGTCGCCCACTGGGCAGACTCCCAGATGATAACAGACACTACTGGCTATGAATATATTTTGGCTTTGGTGCATTCTTCCAAAAAGCTGTTAGATTTTTTTTTGTCTCCTAAAGCAATTATCACTTACCATGTCCATTATCAAATGACCACAAATGAAGCATCTGTCAGCTGACTGCTGGAAACCAGAATACTGCAAGGACAAAAATGAATTTCACAAGGGTAGTCGAGCATAAACAACAGCACATTGTAGGTGTTATTTGCATGGCCCTTTCCTGTATTCCATACACAAGCTAAACTTTCCAGTGCTTTTTTCAGTATATGAAAAGCTCTGCATGGGTCCCCAGAAAATAACCTATGGAGACACCAGACTTCCAGTATTCATAAGGAGTATGAATTCCTGCAACTTCCAAGCTCTAAATTTAAGTTTAATTAAGTGTATAAATAAATACCATAAATGCACGTGCAAACAAAGCATTTACTAATAAGACCTACATGCTTATTTGACCATTTGAATCTATAAGCCAGGAGCTTACTTGTGTTTATCATGTATTCACATCACAATATCTATATATATAGGCTCATAAGCCAAATTCTTCCTCTTTTTTCACTGTTATAAGTCTACTGAAGCTTCTCCAAGGTCCATGGTATTGTCCCAGCTCCCTGTTAGGGTAACAATCGAGTCTGGCTCAGAGCAACATGTTGCTGCTGTTGCCGAGGTATAAATGGTACGGAACTGCCTGTCACGTCCACAACATGCACCTTGAACACAACACAACATCTGTCTGAGGTTTTGGTCCTGTCTGAATAGTAGACATGAAAACTGGAAAAATTAAGTATTTTGGATGCATTTAGCCAATCTTTCAATTTTCAGCCTGTGTAACATAGACTGATGAGAGCAAAGATTAACTCTCTCTCACAGAAATCCCTAGACTTACCCAATAAGTAGGCAAAGATGACTTTTCTAAGTTTCAATGAAGGCTTAATCTATCAGGACTCAGGGCTAGAAGGGCATATGGCTTTTTATCATCAAGTCCAGCCTTTACCCCAGCACTGCCAAGGCCACCACTAAACCATGTCACTGAGGGCCTCATCTACACAGGTTTTGGACACTTCCAGGGACATGTGGGCAGTCATCATGGCTGGAGCTGGCCCTGGGCAGGTGGTGGAGCAGAAGGACCAGGTGGGATGCTGGACTAGAGTTGCGTGAAACCCAGGCAAAGCTGAGGCAGAAAGGCTGCATGTCTGCTGGGGAGGCTGAGATGTACCAGCACAAGGGTCAGCTGTGTGCTTACCAGGAAATCTTCTTCACAGAACACCTTCCCATTGACAAAATAAAAAGCTTTTCCCCTCAGCTTTCGACCTGAGGAAAAAAAAAAAACACACAGAAGAGAAAGGTCAGCAGAAAGCAGGGAGAAAATGTGAGCAAAACTGGCTGCTGAGAAGCAAACAACCATGAAGACATTTGAGCATGGCACAGCTGGAGAAGAGCATCCAACCCTAGCATGCTCTTCCCAGCCTCCTCTTCCGCTGGCTGATGAACATGGATGGCTGGACCCAGGCAGCAGCCCCACCTGTGGGCAGGAGGAGGTTGGTTTGCAAACCTGGAGCACCTCCTGGCAGATCATAACACAAAATAACCTGGCAAAAGCAGATGAGGGTACTCACGCTGGAAAACACGCCAGGAGACAAGCAAAGAGGAAAGACAAAGAGGCATGAACTGTGTGATCCATATGTGACATTGTCCCTTAGAATGTCACACCTAGCTGTTCCTCTAGAAGGTGCCAGGTAAGACACTGGAATACCCAACCACCCAGTCTACACACATCAGAGTGCAACACCAGGTACCTCAACATGCTCCTCTGCTCCCCACCAGCACCTTTGTCACTGCAGCTGCCAACAAAACCTGGAAACCATTTAAATGAGTGGGTTTTTTTCAAACCAGAGTGTTGTAACAGAGACAGGATGACAAAGCTGTTCCAAGAAAGAATTCTACATATGGGAAGACTTATATTTGCTGTAGCTTTTGTGTTTATGCCTCACATTCACTGTCTGTTTTCAGTTCACTAACTATGGCAAACGTTTGCTCATGATGCCACCACTTCTTCTGAGTGCTTCCTCTTAGAGGAATGGGGTAGGTTTTGTTTGCTCATAAAAAGCTGCTCTTACCTCTTTGCAGCCCAGCCTCCCTATTCAGCCAGGGGTTTGAATGCAGCCTAGCACTGGAGTGGCTCTGCTTGTGCTGCTTGGTCAAGGAACCCTAAACACACGCCTGGAGGTAGTGCCTGGGAACAGCAGGAGCAGGACCTGCTGCAGGCTGGTTTTGGGACCTGCCAGGCATTGCTGGAAGGAAACAGGAACTGAGACATCAAAAGCTTCCTGCTTGATATGCTACATGTGGCATGTATCATAAAGTGATCATTGACTGCTGGGTGTATAAATGCTAATGGCACACCGGATGGGTCTGGAGGGCACATCTTGGTGCCTCACGGCATGTGCATACCTGGCAGCCTTCAACAAATAACCATGCTGGTTACAAAGCTTTAAGAAAAGGAGAAAGCCAAGTGAAACCATTTCATAAACTACAACCTTTACTGTCTCCTGTGCACACCAGAGGGCACTCCCAGGCTGTGAAACAGCTCCCGCTGCTCCTCGGGCAATGGAGATGCTCCAGAGGAGCTATAAAGCTTTGTCAGTGAATTCAGCCAGACCAACATTCCAGCAGCAGCTCTCAGTGCCCTGCCCAGGGCTCAGCAGCACGGCAGGTGGAGGACGTGGCAGCGTGTTTGTCAAGGAATCAGCTCCAGTTTGCACATGCAGAATGGTTTGCACATTCTGCTGGAGAGGAGAAGGCTCAGGGGGACCCGATCGCTCCCTACAACTGCCTGACAGGAGGTTGTAGTGAGGTGGGGTCGGTCTCTGCTCCCAAGGAACAAGGGACAAGACAAGAGGAAACTGCCTCAAGCTGCACCAGGGCAGGTTTAGATGGAGCTGAGGAACAATTCCTTCCCCAGAGGGTGCTCAGGCATTGGAACAGGCTGCCCAGGGCAGGGCTGGAGTCACCGTCCCTGCAAGTGTTCACACAGCGTGGAGACGAGGCCTCAGTGCCATGGGTTAGTGGTGGCCTTGGCAGTGCTGGGGAACAGTTGGATTAGATGAGCTTAAAGCTCTTTTCCAACCTCACTTATTCTGACTCTTATGCAGGAGCTTCTTGTCAATTTAAAGCCATTCTCCTTGTCATGTCCCTACATTCCCTTGTATAAAGTCCCCCTCCTGTGTACATGCCCATGCACAGGTTAGCCTGGCACGCTCACCACCAGTTGCAGAGTCTCAGTTTCTGAGAGGGGAAGGAGAGGCGTGGGGATATGTGGGACTTGCAGCACCCTTGTCAATGGTAGTCATAAGTGAGTTAACAACTAGTCTAATGCAGCATGAAGTCCCCCAAAAATCTCCTGCTGATTTAAATTGGGATTTGGCTCCTAAAAATGAAAACCAAAACCCATTTGACATTGATTTTAAATGACATGGTAGTGTGGGCTCCTTTTTAGTGCAACAGTGACTTTCCACCTGGATGCAATGTCTCTCCTTACAGACAAGCCTGCAGTGGTGATGAAAAACGTACACACAGAGCTACACAATGAGGAGATGCTTCCTTGGACGAAGGCCCTGGCTGGTGCATGAGCAGAAGGGAAGCCGTTCCAGCAGGAGGGAAGAGGTTTGGATCACTGCCACCACGGTTATTCTTGCGCCGTGACAAAAAAAGCATTTACCAGCCATTCTGCACCCAGTGTATTTTTAACCCCATGACATTAGCAGGTTAAGACTGATGGCAACAGCCCTTCAGAGAAGCTGTGCTCTGTCTGGGCTACTCGTTCAGTCGAGTTATAAACCCCTTTATAAAGGGTTCATAACTTGGCTGTCGGTGTAATATGGGCCCATGAACAAGAGGTGCTGATACCAACAGCACTTTGAGGTAAGGGGGGGATGATTTCATTATTTTTTGGGGGAAGAGGTGGTCATTTTGACTATGTTTTTGCTCTTCTCCATGAATCCCTCTGAGCCCCTGGCAGAAGTGAAGAGAAAATGTGCCAAAACCACCACGAGTCATGAGCTGCCCTGCAGCCACCATGGGAGTGGTGCATGCAAACAGACTCTGCAGCTCTCAGCCTCTCCCTGCCACATCAGGATGGACTTCTGCAGCATCCCTTTGAGGTGAGGAAGCATCTCCTTATTGTGCACGTGGGAAAGCAAGATGCAGGAAAAGCTCACTTCCCCGGGCTGCACTGGGGACTGTCCCGGTGGAGATGGGAAATGCACGGTCTGGCTGCAGCCACACGAGTAAAACAAACAGCACTGGGACTGCCCCACAGTGCAGAGCAGGGGTCAGCAGATCTGTCCCTGTGCTGAGCTTCCTGCTACGGCACAGTGCCTTAAGTTAAACAAGTCCCTCTCAAAGTGGTACTTGTCACTGTGCGCCTGCAGAGGCTGGCACAGGTTTAGCCTCAGCGCATAGATGCTGTTGTAATTACACCAAAAGGAATGTAAATGGCCTAGAAGGAATCACATATTCATCACTGCCTACTTTAAATATGCATTACTTTAATACATGCATCCCACTGACTACAGAGTCAATCTCCTTTGATAAACCCAGGGACATTCATGCATGGCTTGCTGCTTTCAGGATCGATTGCTCTTAAGCTGCTGGCTCCTGACCATATTTTGCTTTCACTCCATCCTGAATTTAGCTAATGTCTCACCTGGAAAAATTCAAACAATTAAAATTCTTTGGCATTTCAGCCCTACCATCTTTACCTGCTGTGACAATCCCTGGGTCCTCTCCCATAAGCCCCCAGCTTTTATGTACTGCTCATCCCTCACACGTCTGTCTGATCTATTTAGCTGTGGGACATTCTGGATGACCTCAAGGTCCTTTCAGCACCAGTTTCAGAGTATTTTGAGCTTAGTCACTAGCGCCTTCATGCTAGAATAAACACACTTTGCCTAGCAGCTGAAAATAGGCATACCGTCAGGCTGCACTCCCAGGATGCTGGTGCTTTTGTCCATCATTCTCTCAAACGACAGCTCTCTTCTTTTGAAGTTCACAAAGAGAGGGACTTGCAACAGCCCAAGGAAAATGCTGGGAGATGAATCATTTACTTGCTGGGGAGCTGGACCCAACTTTGTCTTTTGAAGTTGCTTTTCCATTATTTATTAAAAGGACAAAGGGGTCACAAACCCATGTTCGAAGACAGGAGACTGCTCTCAATGCATACAATGGTACAGGGTCATGTCTAGATCCCAGTGCTCTATGGGTATGCATGACCAGGGCCCTGCATTGCTGGGCAGGCAGTGTGGACCTCACTTATTACTCCTCTAAGTACTTTGGGGCTTTCTATGTTGTCTGCACAGCAGATGGGTGAGAATCCCTGCAGCCTGGCAGCAGCTCCTGGGTCCCTTCCACGCTGACAGCCCTGTGCCCCTGTCACCACAAAAATCAGGCCCTCTTGGACAGCCACGGCTGTAAGATAAATTCGGGCATGTGGTTACTAATGGCAGGTTAAAAACAAAAGTATTTCAGTTCCAGATTCACTGGATGTAACCTCCTGACACACTAATTGGACAGCAGGTAGAAACTCCATCTAGCTTTTAAGAATCCCAGACTGGTTTGTGTTAGAAGGGACTTTAAAGCCCATCCAGTTCCAACCCCCTGCCACAGGCAGGAACAGCTTCCACTAGAGCAGGTTGCTCCAAGCCCCATCCAACCTGGCCTTGAACTTTTGGAGTCCCTTGTGGATACTTTGCTGACAGGCTGTATGGTGTCCCACCATGCACGACAGACTAGGTCAAGCATCAAAACCCTGCCATCTGTCCCACTTCTGTCGGCCACCATTCAAACTGGATGCAGCACTAAGACTAGCATGGAAGTGTCAGTGTTTCCCACCTGCCCTGGGGGCTGCATGAAAGGGTCACTCTGGTGCCTGCACATCCTTCAAACAGGCAAATTCAGCCTGTGATCAACTCACAGACACTCCAGGTCAGACTAAATCTTGGTGAAACCATGGGCAGGTAGACAGGATATCTCCTAGAATAAACTGTGCTAAGACACATTAGCTCCATTATCATGGAAGATGTTCAGTCTGTTTTCACATTTACAATACCAGCTGTATTGTACGAGTGAATAAAATGCCCTCTATGCTCTCACCACACATTTGAGGTAGTAAAACCAAAACCCTCTCTGCATCACTCCAAGGACAGCTGCCCTGCTCCCCAAAATGCATCAAACCAAGGTAGCCACTGGAGCTGTCCCTCCACGCCATCATCCACCAACTGGCACTGAAACAGAGGCTCATGGGGGAGAAGGAT